AATGTCATGCATGCGGTCAGATTGCATCGAGGAAACAATGATCATGTACGTCAGTTGTGTGGACCGAGAATAAATTCTGTAATTAGCAGACCAAAGATCAATAGAGTGTTGCATGCATTAGATTCAAGACGAAGAGAACGTGCATGGTCCTGTACGCATAGTACGACCAGATTTGGACTATAAGAAAAACATGGCGTGGGGAGGATCATCATGGGGCAGTTTTGGTTTATTCCTGAGTTATGAGACATACAGAAAACGTCCGAGTTTCGAGCGACCATATCTTGTATATCATTTGTGATTTTTCTATTGTGAAAATTTACTAGCGGCGGAGGATTGATCATCACATCAACACCTACGTGCTGATCCAAGGGGATCATTATTTTTATTCGTGTATTTCCGTACGTGGGTGAAAATTATTCTTGAAGGTTGCGGGAAGGAACAAGGAGACGGACTGTTGATCAAGCATCGCCGTGAAAGATCGGGCCATCTACACGCACAAATTAGCGTCTCGCTAGTCCGTGCCTCATCAATGTCCATGTCATTTTCGTACCCACTAAAAATATTTGCATCACTATGTTGTTGAGACACTAAAGTACCTAAGGCAATATTCTACTAGATTAACACGTTAATTTCACCAAGTCATTGGATGTCAATAGAACTTTGTATTTTGTAAAGATATATACTTATATACTCTTAAAATTTAACACTTATAATGTTTGTTGTCAGTAGCAAGAGCACATGTTCTTTGATTTGAACTCAGCTTTTAGGCTACTCAAAAAAGTTGTAGTTGCTTGTATTGCGTACTGTTATATATAGAGAGTATAAGGTCGGTACAGAGTGAGTGGGTTTGAACTTGATAGCCTAGGACACCCTAGTGCTAATCAGGATGACAAAACAGAGTTGGTAGAAAAACTAGTTGTCGGTGCTACTAGCTGGAAGTCACAAGGCTTATCTTACTAGAATAATGAAAACCAAAGTTTAGTTAGCAGGAAAACTAAAACGATCTGCACAAAATTCTAAATGGAAAACATATCAAGTTCATGCCAAGGGGTTTGGTAAAACTCAAGATATGAACATGTTTTGTGGAAACACGCGGGATATACTGAAAGTACACATTATGTAGTGCAAAATTCATGTAGGATGCAAATGCATAAGAGCTATAGGTCAATGGATATCATCATGCTAAGTTTGTAAGTTTTAACAGATTCTGGCAGTTCTATTATGATGCACTTTTGCCACAGAGTTTTCATCAAGCAAATTGATCCTAACATAGATAAAAATGCCACCATTGCGTAGAACATAGAAAAATGCACAACATTGATATAAGGCACGTATTCATTGGATACACAGATTAAAAGTTATAACGGTTTTAATATAAAATAGTGCAGCTCCTTTCAGCTAGGCGCTGCACTACACTGTGCAGCTCCTTTCAGCTAGGCGCTGCACAACCAGAAGTAGGGCCCGGGGTGCCACGCTGGATAGACTTGCAACGCCTGCGAGCTAGGCGCTGCACCGTAGGGTGTGGCACCTTCGTGTCGGGCGCCACTCAAAAAGGCCAGCTAGGTGAATTTTTTTGCAACACAGTTCATTTTGTGAAATGTTTTCATTCACAGGTTAAAATTGTCAAATTTGCCACACTTTCACATAGTACTAAATTCCTCGAAAGCCCCTATGCACCTCTTGTCCCAAGCGAAGGCGGCTAGGGTTTCCTGCCTCCCGCCAGCAACGCCTCCGATCTGTCTCGTCTCCTGTGGCCTTAGGGCCATGGGGACGCGGTGGATCCCGGCCTTTGTCGGCGAGAGGGCTCCGTTTTTGAACGTTTTAGGTTTTGTTAGGTTTTGTGTCACGCAGAGGAAGGCGAGGCGGTGGCGGTTCTCTAAAGATGAAATAACTATTGAATTTTTTGATATTTACCTATATATCAATGATATATGGTACTAGCATTTATTTGTAGTCTTATTAACTATTGAATTTGTTGATTTTTTTATTTATGGTTCAATAGGTTTTTCAGTTTAGCTTTGTATGTGTGTCTGCATATTTTACTATGTATTTGGTTCCAAAAATAACCGCCTAGAATTTTTGTATTTAATTATGTTTACGCTAAAATATACTCACTCCCCTCACAAATATAAGATGTTCAAACTTTTTAATGAATCAGATGTATGTAGAAATTTTTTAGTGTGTTTGTTCACTTATTTCAGTTTATATGTAGTTTATACTGAAATATCCAAAACATCTTATATCTATAAACTATAAGGGACTAGAAGTGTTAAGTGTAGGAACATGTAGTTCCACCCCAAATCACACACAGGGTTAGAGCGAAGCCATAGAGAATACGGGATCTCTTTGCATGTGATACCTTGGCTACCGATTTTCGTATGGCTGCAGCTCATGAAGCAAAAATATCAAATTGTAGATATCATACGTGGAGAGGATGCAGAGCATCTCAGCTCGAGCTCATATGTGCTTGGGTGAACGGTAAAATCCATAAAATAAGAAAGGAAAATAAAATAAATCTCCATTTTTAGAAAACACTGAAAAATGTTTTGATTGCTTGCAAAATTTCATTATGGAATGACATTCGTGGAAGTAGTGGCAAAAAAAAAATCGATGCTCCAAAAATGCTACTTCCCCAGTTCCAAATTATAAGATGTTTTGGTAGGCTAAAATAGCCTAACAAAATTTCTTATAATTTGGGACAGAGGTAGTATTTTCAAAAGCATTTTGGACTTCTGATTTTTTTTTTGGCCACGACTTTTATAATGTCATTTCAGAAACTTTGCAAGCACTCAAAACTTGTGTCAATGTTTGCCACAGAAAAATCAGATTAGTTTTCCTTCTAATTATTTGTTTACTTTTTTTGATTTCACTGTTCATGCCGTGCTCATATGAGCTTGAGCTTTTTTTTAAAAGAATCATATGAGCTTGAGCTGAGGTGGTGACTTTCCACGTGGAGAGCATTACCCTTTCTGCCCCGGTATTGTCGCGAATTTGTGACGAATGTGCATCTTAAATCACTAAAGTTTCTTATCTGGCGCTGCATTATCACAAGTGACAAACATTCAGTGGTTGTTTGGATACTGAGAATTAGTTGTGAGATTATAGGAAACGAGTTTTTGGAGGATTTTTAGCAAAGCCGGGTTTTTGCTATTTTTCCAGTTACGATGGGTATGTACAATTCCTTGTTTGGATGTAGAGATTAGGAAAAGGAGATTTATGGCATGTACAATGATGCTATCTTAGGAGTGCCACGTAGGACAAATGATGAGGTGGAGGAGAGAGAACTCATAAGAGAAGGCTTGTCTTCTCTTATTTAAGATAAGACAAGAGATGATCTCTTAGCACAATATGTCTCACCACATTTTTAGGAATTGCTAATTATTGAAGATAAGACTAAGAGATGATCCATTGTAGACATTTTTTTTGGTTATCTCTAAAAAAACATGCAAAATTTAAAACAAGACTATCTTATCAACTATTGTACATGCCCTTAGCAGTTCTTTGTTTGGGTCGTCTCTTACGCACTTGCCACGCTTCGCTCATCGCCTTCTACGCGGACTACTTGCTTCTCCCGTCCCGCTCCGAGCACGTTGGTCACGAGACCAAACACCAAGAGCACATGACTTAATGTTGGGAGCATCACGGAGGTTGGGCATGATGCGCTCGTCGGCGTTCAAGCTGAATGTTGGGAGTACCACATCTCTTCGCATGGAAAGCCAAGCAGCGGCCAAGCTCAATGGTCGCCGGCGTTCTCTGCCACGACCAAGCCGGACGAGGCGTTGTTGGCCGTATCCTCTGGTGGAGCTCACCACGATGAGGAATCAACTTTGTTCTCTTGCCGCGCCTCGTCCCTCATCCATGCCTCCAAGCTCGACGTCGTTGCCGACGTCCATGAACTGGAAGGAGGCTGTGCCGGTGCGCGTGTCCGCCGTACTCGGAGAGTAGCGCATCATGGGGCGTTTGGTTCAGGCACGGGGAACTGCAACGCGCTCCAGTCCTCCAGCTCTCGGTACACCACAATATCAAAGGAACACAACGCGGTGGAGCGGCGACGGTGTCGCGCCGTGCGTAAGGCGGCAGAGCAACGCCGGTGCTTGAACTGTGTCACTGGCGATCACCATGCCCAGCAGCCACCATCGTGGACTACGTGCATGCACAGAAACAGATAACCACGCAGCGGAGCAGCGATGGTGCTGGAACTGCGTCACCCGCGATCAATCCGGCCACCGTCGTGGACTCCTCAACATCTTAGGCCTCGTCACGGGCTCACGGCAAGCCTCACGGTCTTGCCTAGGATAACCCCCTGTCGCCAGGAGCAAGTGAGGTGCTAGAGCTACCGCAGTGGCGAGACCGGCTCGGCGGCCGCCGACCCAGCCGCAGACTTTGAGCGCACGGATGACGAAGCATGTCTGGCGTCCGGCGTCCGCGTCGACCCGCCGGATGCACCATCGTCTTCGCTACAACTCACTGGAATGGCGAATCTGAGGACAACGATACCCAGGATATGTTAATCCCGTTTTTGCAAAAACGACTAATAGTCGTTTTCCCGTAAACTCAAAATCCTGGGTTTTGGAGAACCAGGTTTTCTATATCCACGGGTTTGTTAGATGATCCAAACAAGATTTTATTTTGTTAGAGCCGTTTCCTTGTTTATAGAGAACCGGTTTTGTATATTTCCCTTATCCAAACAACCCCTCAACATGGGGAGTCCTTAGTTCCTTACTGAGCCAGGTAAGGGTAGGGGTCTAACACCGCCTTCCGATGCCGAAGGAACCGACACGCGCTATTACGTGTTCTTTCCTTCGACCGGGACGAGGAATCCGAGCGCCAGCCTTGTACCCCGCCAGTCCGATAACGACTCCAAACTTGCCTCTTCACTAGTAGACATGGCAAGTGCATGGGACGCGACCTTCTCCCCAAGATCGATCGATCGATATACAGTTCCCTCCTCGGCTCGATCAGCTCGTTCTCCGTCCATCTTCTTCTCCCCTCCGTTCTCGATGGCCGTCGTTTGTGCCCAAGCCGTCGACTCTTGGCCCATCTGGAACCTCCAAGGCTACGGGGTCGAGGACTGCGAGGAGACGCCCATCTGGGAACTCGACGACTGCGAGGAGACGGCCGAGCTCGGCTCCGGGAGCTTCGGCACAGTCACCAAGGCGTGGTCCTACAAGACCGGCGAGAGCGTCGCCATCAAGACCCTCGGCTCGAGCAGCCATGACGCGGTCCGGCGGGAGGCCGACCTCCTCAGGGCGTGCCATGGCCACCTCAACATCGTCCAGCTGCGGGACATGTCCTTCGACCGCAACGCCGACAGGCTCTCCCTCGTCATGGAGTACGTCGGGCCGAGCCTCCACGACGTCCTCCACCGCGCCCGCCGCGGCTGCCCGTTCCAGGAGGACGTCGTGCGCTTCCTCATGCGGCAGCTTCTGAGCGGCGCCGACCACATGCACCGGCTGTGCCACGTCGTCCACCGGGACATCAAGCCCGAGAACGTCCTCGTCGGCGACGGCGTCAAGATATGCGACTTCGGGCTCGCCATGTCCATGTCCCAGGCCCCGCCGTACGGCCACCGTGGCACCCGCAGCTACATGGCGCCGGAGATCCTCCTGGGGAAGCCCGACTACGACGCCACCGTGGACGCCTGGTCGCTGGGCTGCGTCATGGCCGAGCTCCTCCTAGGCGAGCGGCTCTTTGGCCGCGCGGCGGACGACGCCGACCAGCTCCTCAGGATCTTCTACGTACTAGGCGTGCCGGACCAGATCTCCTGGCCGTCCTACAACTCCATGCCGCTGGCCGGCGAGCTGGTGGCGCCGCCGAGCATCCCCCACCGCAACAGGCTGCGCGAGGTGTTTCCAGAGGACTGCCTGTCCAGACAAGGTTTCCAAGTATTGAGCGGCCTCCTCTCCTGCGACGCAGGCAAGAGGCTGTCGGCGGCTGACGCCCTCGAGCTTCCATGGTTCACCACCAACTAGACAGGACGACGCTCCGGAAACTCTGATTTGATAGCGTGCACACAACGTTCTTGTGTCCACATACAATGTAATGTAAGGTTCGACTGCAATATTTCTGCAGTTCTGCTGTCTGAGTTTAGTTGTAAGGAAATTGTCGACTTACGTTCAGACAAAAAACCTGTGCTCGTTACTTCAGTAGTACTCCCTCCGTCCTTTAAATAGTGTACTTCCAACTTTGTTGGAGGGTCAAACTATCTCAATGTTTGACCGAGTTTGTGCAAAAATATATCAATGTTTATGAAACCAAATAGGTATATGATGAAAATATATTTTATCATGAATCTAATGCTACTAATTTGATGGCATAAATGTTGGTGCATTATTGTATAAATACGGTCAAACATAAAAATGTTTTGACTTTTCAACTTAGTTGGAAGTACACTCTTCAAAGGACGGAGGGAGTACATCAATACGAAGTGCGACCATGTTGGTACAATTGAATGATTTTGTATCCACAAGCCGGAGTTGCGTGCACGGGAGCTGAAGTTCGTGTGGGTTCCAGACTTCATTTTTCAGAAGAACTGGGAGGCTTCATTGCAACCAACCAAGTCACAGAATCCAAATTTGGTTTCGGCTTTGCTATTCATCGGTTGTCTGAAATTGAAATTTGGTTCCATCGATTTTGCATGAAACCCCGAGGTCGAAGACAGGTAAATTTCAATTCTCTCGTGAATCGAGTGACAACAACAAAAAAAAGAACAGGCAACTGACAAATAAGCATCTTCAGACTCCATCAACATTCCAGGTGTGGCCGGCGATGCCGGTGTTATTTTTCTTCATCAAGTTTGTAATAGCTCGTAGAGTGCATCTTTTTGGAAGTTGGTCTGATTGTTTTTAAATTTACCAATTCCACGTACTAGTTGTTTTTAGGCAAACGAAGCTTAGGACCGTTATTAGGACCAAACAGATCAGATCAGAACACCCCGCTGCAAGTTCTCTAAATCCTGAACACCCAGCGAACTCAGAATCACAAGTCCTGAGGAAAAGAGGTCACTCTGAAATGTTCACCTTCAATGTAGAAATGTTCTTCTACATTGTTGAAAGTTCAACTTTAATTAAAGGCATACAAGACATTGTTGAAAGTTCATCTTCAATTAAAGGTTCACAAAATTAACTGTAGTGAAAAATTAGCTGAAAGCCGGAGAGAACAAAAATCAAGGAAAAAGGAGAAACAGAGCGGTAAAGATGGAAGAGTTACAGTTAAGCGCTGTTACCATAGTGACATGATTTTATTTCAATATCAAGTTAAGCACTGTTACCAGTGACATGATTTTATTTCAAAATCAGCATGGGCGATCGTAAGAGAAACTAGACACGAAAACAGAACAGACTTCAAACAGATATCTATATCAGGTACCAATAGATTGTATGCAGATTACTGATAAGAACACAATCAGAAGGTCCACCAACCATGTCTTTAACCGATAAATAAGCAACAAAACGCTTGTCTTCATGCATCAGAAGATCCAACATACGAAGAAAACATTTCAACTCTTAACAGCATCCACCACAGCCCAATCACATGAACAAGTTCGGCCTCGTTGCCTTGTAGGTGGTCTTCAGCTTCCTGGTTGGTGGCCTGACCTTTTGGTACACAAGGGGGAACTTGATCTTGGAGTTGTGGAACTGCTTGGTGTTGTCTCTCTTGCATAGCTTGAAGTTGACAGTCGCGGTCTTGATGATCTGAATGCAGGGGGATCTCACACGGTGGCGAGAGGCCATCTCAGTGTACATCTGCTCCACGGCACCATTTAGTGTGGTGTCACGGTACTCCTTGTACATGTTGTGGTAGCCAGTCCTGCTCTGGTAACGCAGCCAAATGCCATAGTTCTTGATCGTGGTTGGGTTCTTCTCAAAGATCTGACAAAAAAAGAGTAATTCAGTGCATAAATAACAATCACATGCCATAATTGAGTAAAAAAGAATCAGTGAAAAAATCAGGTTCCAATTGGTTCCCAAACAAAGAAACTATGGATTAACACCAGTCAACCACAACATACACATAACACAATTAGAAAAAGGAAAAATCACAAATCAGAAAGTATACGTGACCGCATAATAGACAGCTCATATGGGTCCCTTCAGATGAAACGGGATGTGGCAAAAAGAACTCACAGAACTTTTGCGGTACAAGTCCTTGTAGTGAATACAAATTATATTATGCAAAACAGAGCCTTCGCACATCAGAATGAAGTATCAGAAGTAATTTACGCATAGATAATGTAAATACAACTACAGATGCATATTTTCGCAAGAAAATCGCATACATAGTGATCACAACAAGATGGAAGGGGCATCACTGCATATTCAAACACAACTAGAATGATTTTATGTTGCATTCCGACTAATAACGCCACAGAGAGTACAGATAAAACTACCGATGCAGTTGTAAGAGTGGGCCGATAAAAGGGGCTAATTAAGCCGCTCTCGGTTGGTAATTGTAATGTACAGGAAAGAACCAGAAGGTGGGACATAATCCATGCTCATGGCAAAACATAAGACGAGAAAGGCCCAATACCTCGTTGATGGCGAGCATCTGGCCGTTGCTCTTCTTCACCTTCTTCAGCTTCCTCAGGAAATACCTGCACAGACGCGACAACAGCATCAGAAATACCGAATCGAAAACGAACAGATCCTTCAGATGTCGCGAGGCGACGGGGAGGAGCTCACCAGAACTTGCTCTTGGCGCGGACCTCATTGGTGGCCCAGAGCTTCATGCGGTAGATCTTCGGCTGCTCATCGCCGGGCGTCGGCAGCGCACGACCCACCACCTGGTACTGATGGAACTGCACACGCACGGACGCGTTGAGACGAATCAGAAACACGGATCAAGGGCGGACACGGAGGCGTCGAGGATAGCTACGGCCGGGAGGCGGCAGTGGAACTTACCCTGAAGGCCACCATTTCCGCGAGCTCTGTGAAGCCCCTAGCCTAACCTAACCTAAGGAGATGGGGAGAGCAGGAGGCGGCGGGCGAAGGAGGCGTCCGTGAGAGGGAGAGAAGCGTTTATAGGTGGCGAGCTTGGCTGTAAACCCTAATGGGCTTTCTCCGTGTCGTGGGCCTATTTTTTTTAGCTTGTGGGTCTACTGTTCCGCTCTTTATCATAGATCCCCTGCCATTGGCCCAATGTGTTAACGCGGGACTTCACATACAAGAACGTGTATGTCTCTGAAATAAAACATACAAGAAAGTGTTAACAATACAGAGATACGTGTTTCTCCACACACACACACAAAAAAAATACGTGCTACTAAAAAAACAAAGAGATACTGCTAAAAAAAGATTATTCTCCAAAAAAAAGATAACTCTCAAGAAAGATATTTATTTTCTGAAAAAGTGACATTTCTTTTTCTAAGAGAAGACAAAAGTTGTTTCTTAAATTAAAACAAACAAACAATTTTTTGCTAAAAATAAAGAGATAATATTACTAAAGACAAATTAAAGATAAAAAAATATTATTATTGTGCTCTCTTTTTTAGAATACCTTCAAGATAAAAAATAATTATTTTGTGCTCTTTTTTTAGAACACCTTGTTGAGTTCCAGTGCTACTTTACCTCACTCAAATTTAAGGGTTACGACCCAGGGTGCGCGACATCAGCTGTGTGTGTCACTTCGACCATTATTACGTCATGCATCATCATGTGCATACATGGCGCTGCCACGAGGGGCATCAGACGTCTGCATGCCCATTGTGCGGGAAGGCGTCGGACAGAACGTGTGCTCGATAAGATTACCTAATAGACTTATCTCCGCTATCTTATTTATCTTAACATGCAAAATATTCGTATTAGCAACCATGCCATCTCAGAAAAAAATGTGCACCCCGGCATTCCTTATGACCTCATGAAGCTACATCACCTTCTCACGTCATTACTTTTTTCAGAACTCGTCTAGCACAGTGAGTCCCTATCATCTTCACCACCACTCCTTAGAGCTTCCCATGCAGGTCATCTCCATCACATCCGGTTGGGAAACAAATTATGTGGAGACGTACTCCACGCACACTCCTGTGCATACCTGATGTGATTTGTCTTCACGTGCCCGAGCTCAGCATCCGATGGCACCCTATCATGATCAGGCGCTGCGGGCGGTCACTGCTCGGATCGTGTGCAACACGTCCTTCTGGCTCAGCTCCAATCACTCATCTCCATTTGATTGTGCGTGATCCCTATACGACCGGGACTGAAAAGACAGGTCATGGCCAAGTGATAAAGGTAAATCAGACAGATCTCCGGGTGGGGGATCCCAAGCTAAGTGTCTAGGTACGATGGTAACGGGTGAAAAGGCATTTCCAGCCTTAAGTGTTTTGGTGTTGATGACAATGCAATTTACGAACTAACGATGTGCCTAATCTACACATGTATACTCTATAGGGCACAACACGGTTGGGCACCCCTCCGGATGGAAAGAGCAAAGACAACATTTCCAACGCTTTTATTTCTTCGGTCGTAGGAAATATGTACTATTAAGAGGGGGGGTCCGCATTAGAAGATATTGGGTGAATCAAACACATACACATCTACGTATTGCACCGACATATATCCTTCCAATTTGAGGAGAGAGCCTCTCATCTAACCCATGCAGAGAAACCTGCCCAGAGCAGTTGTACTGCAGGTAGCAGCGGTTGTACCGCCCCCTATGTGGAGTGGCCTCTGCTACTACCACCCAGACGATTGTACCGCATGCAGAGGTGGTTGTACTACTTAGTTTACTAGAGGTTCAACCGCACGTTGCACTAGGGTGTGATACCCAAGTGGTTGCTACCCGATTGTTCAAGAAGTCACTTTGCTACCGATACAACCAGGTCAAGGCCGGTTGTACCACTCGGGACTTAGCAAACCCCAGACATTGTCTTGGGTGATTATACTAGTGTTAGTACCGCTCAAACCACCGCGATAGGGATGAATCCTTCGGGTTGTGAGCGACACAAGGGTAGTGCACAACGGTTGTTCCGGGGAATACTCATTCTCCGGTACAACTGGGCATGTAAGTGTTGGGGAACGCAGTAATTTCAAAAAAAATCCTACGCACACGCAAGATCTACCATGGTGATGCATATCAACGAGAGGGGAAGAGTGTTGTCCATGTACCCTCGTAGATCGTAAGCGGAAGCGTTATGACAACGCGGTTGATGTAGTCGTACGTCTTCATGATCTGACCGATCCTAATACCGAAAGTACGGCACCTCCGCAATCTGCACACGTTCGGTTCGGTAACGTCACATGAACTCTCGATCTAGCTGACTGTTGAGGGAGAGCTTCGTCAGCACGACGGCGTGATGACGGTGATGATGAAGCTACCGGCGCAGGGCTTCGCCTAAGCACTACGACGATATGACCGAGGTGGATTATGGTGGAGGGGGGCACTGCACATGGCTAAGGGATCAATGATCAACTTGTGTGTTCTAGGGTGCCCCCTTGACCCCGTATATAAAAAGAGCAAGGGGGGAGGCCGGTTGGCCCTTGGTGACACGCAAGAAGGGGAGGAGTCCTCCTCCTAGTAGGAGTAGGACTCCCCTTTCCTAGTCCTACTAGGAGGAGGAAGGGGAAAGGAAGGAGAGGGAGAGAAGAGAAGGAAAGGGAGGCGCCGCCCCCCTTCCCTAGTCCAATTCGGACTAGAGGGGAGGGGGCGCGCAGCCCTGCCTTGGCCGGCCCTCTCTCTCTCCACTAAGGCCCATGTTGGCCCATTAGATCCCCCAGGGGTTCCCATAACCCCCCGGCACTCCGATAATTATCCGGTGACCCCCGGAACTCATCCGGTGTCCGAATATAGTCATCCAATATATCAATCTTTATGTCTCGACCATTTCAAGACTCTTCGTCATGTCCGTGATCATATCCGGGACTCTGAACTATCTTCGGTACATCAAAATACATAAACACATAATTCCAATTGTCACCGAACGTTAAGCGTGCGGACCCTACGGGTTCGAGAACTATGTAGACATGACCGAGACACGTCTCTGGTCAATAACCAATAGCGGAACCTGGATGTTCATATTGGCTCCCACATATTCTACGAAGATCTTTATTGGTCAAACCGCATAACGATATACGTTGTTCCCTTTGTCATCGGTATGTTACTTGTCCGAGATTTGATCGTCGGTATCTCAATGCCAAGTTCAATCTCGTTACCAGCAAGTCTGTTTACTCGTTCCGTAATGCGTCATCCCGTAACTAACTCATTAGTCACTTTGCTTGCAAGGCTTATAGTGATGTGCATTACTGAGAGGACCCAGAGATACCTCTCTGATACTCGGAGTGACAAATCCTAATCTTGATCTATGCCAACTCAACAAACACCATCTGAGACACCTGTAGAGCATCTTTATAGTCACCCAGTTACGTTGTGACGTTTGATAGCACACTAAGTGTTCCTCCGGTATTCGGCAGTTGCATGATCTCATAGTCATAGGAACATGTATAAGTTATGGAGAAAGCAATAGCAATAAATTAAACGATTGTCGTGCTAAGCTAACGGATGGGTCAAGTCAATCACATCATTCTCTAATGACGTTATCCCGTTAATCAAATGAAAACTCATGTCTATGGTTAGGAAACATAACCATCATTGATTCAACGAGCTAGTCTAGTAGAGGCATACTAGTGACACTCTGTTTATCTATGTATTCACACATGTATTAAGTTTTCGGTTAATACAATTCTAGCATGAATAATAAACATTTATCATGATATAAGGAAATATAAATAACAACTTTATTATTTCCTTCAATCTCCCACTTACACTAGAGTCAATAATCTAGATACATTGTAATGATCATGTTTTGCTCATGAGAGAGGCTTAGTCAACGGGTCTGCAACATTCAGATCTGTATGTATATTGCAAATCTCTATGTCTCCCTCCTTGGCTTGATCGCGGATGGAATTGAAGTGTCTCTTGATGTGCTTGGTTCTTTTGTGAAACCTTGATTCCTTTGCCAAGGAAATTGCACCAGTGTTGTCACAAAAGATTTTCATTGGACCCGATGCACTAGGTATGACACCTAGATCGGATATGAACTCCTTCATCCAGACTCCTTCATTTGTTGCTTCTGAAGCAGCTATGTACTCCGCTTCACACGTAGATCCCGCCATGTCACTCTGTTTGGAACTGCACCAACTAACAGCTGTTGGGGACGCAGTAATTTCAAAAAAAAATCCTACACACACGCAAGATCATGGTGATGCATAGCAACGAGAGGGAAGAGTGTTGTCCACGTACCCTCGTAGACCAGAAGCGTTATGACAACGTGGTTGATGTAGTCGTACGTCTTCATGATCGACCGATCCTAGCACCGAAGGTACGCCACCTCCGCGAACTGCACACGTTTGGCTTGGTGACGTCCCACGAACTCACGATCCTGCAGAGTGTCGAGGGAGAGTTTCATCAGCATGACGGCGTGATGACGGTGATGATGATACTACTAGAACAGGGCTTCGCCTAAGCACCGCTACGATATGACCGAGGTGGATTATGGTGGAGGGTGGCACCGCACACGGCTAAGAGATCAATGATCAACTCGAGTGTCTATGGGGTGCCCCCCTTCCCGTATATAAAGGAGTGGAGGAGGGAGTGGGCCGACCCTCCTATGGCGCGCCCCATGGGGAGTCCTACTCCCACTGGGAGTAGGATTCCCCCCTTTCCATGTAGTAAGAGTAGGAGAAGGAAGGAGGAAAGAGGGAGAAGGAAAAGGGGGGGCGCCCCCCTTCCTAGTCCAATTCAGAGCAGAGGGGGAGGGGCGCGCGGCTTGCCCTGGCAGCCTCTCCTCTCTTTCCACTAAGGCCCATAAGGCCCATTAAACTCCCCGGGGGGTTCCGGTAACCCCCCGGTACTCCGGTATATGCTTGAACTTCACTCGGAACCCTTCCGATGTCCAAACATAGTCATCCAATATATCGATCTT